CCCCCCCTCCGTCAACCCACCAGTCTGCTGATGGGAAGCATTACCTCTCGCTGCAGAAATCAAAACAAAGGTGTCTCTCTGGCTCGTGGTAACACATGCTTCACGTTTTCAATTTGCTCAACGGTTGCTTATATTGGATGAAGAAGCATTTGTTGTCAGTGCATTCCTTTTCTCTTCTGTTGCTCCAGGCGACAGGCTTATTGACTTCTACGCACCTTATCTACTTAATTCTATGGTATTTGTGTCAGTCTTATCTTCTCATGCTTCATCTCACCTGTTGCTGTGCTCATCACCTCATCAGTGCACTTCTCACAAGGGCTTATATGGTTACTTAGACTTCTCACTGTAAGGTGTCATCTGTTTTATTACAGGAAATCCAATTCAAGAATCCCTCCCTGAAAGTTGCCGCAGATGATTTAGTCTGTCCATCAAACCCTCTGTAAATGACACTTTCCCAAAGCTAGATTCAAAGTGTCTAGCTCTATTTGAAGAAGCAAATAGTTGTCTGGACAGGATTAGGTTAGGGGTCTTAAATGGAAATGATGTTCTCCATCTCCACTTACTGGGAATAAACAAGTGCAGTGAGCAGACTTCTCAACGTTCTGCATGGATTCTGCACTGTAAACACAGACTCACAGTTATGGATGTTTTATTTAAGCTGCCTGGGCCTCTGAGCAATTTTCAGTTACAAATCACTTTGGTAGCCAACCCAATGAACTGTGTTATGGTCGTGATTAATAAGGAAACCAATAGATGATGTCTTTTTTTCTGCAGCTTGTCCAATATGTCAATATAATTAGGTAAAACTCCTCAAGATAATAATCAAAAATACCTTTGTTGAGATATCCCAATCAAAAATATGTATTACTTAAAGACATTATATTGACATTATTATGTTCACAATTGAGTGAGCTAACAGCTAACCTCACAGCACAGTTGTCATGTCTCTCTGCACCTGGGATTCCTAACCTCCTGACACCTCAGTCTAAACACTGACATTTTATGGATGCCAAAAGCTACAAACAATGTTTGTTATTCATGAAGCAAAATCTTGTTTTGAAGTCTGAGTCCGTCTCAAGGGAAAGAACCTTGAGGGTGTGCTTATCGATCTTAAGATGTCTCTTTCTCCTTTGTCTCACAGGACTACCCCAAAAACAGACATCCAGGCTGGAGCAGAGGGTCTATAGCCTATCATGCAGGTCAGTGCAGTCGTGATGGTGCATGTCGATCCGTCAATGTGATAGTTCTGCATTCAAATTAAAACCGTATTAAACTGCCATTGTCATTGTGGTCAGTGTAAGTGTTACATATCCTCTCTTATGTTTCGTACTGTACACATTACCGGTTAGCGATCACTAAGAGCACCAACTTGTCTCATGTTTCTGGCAATAATATAAGCTGCATATGTATTATTTATTGGTTGCCATGCCAGTTATAATTGAATATGTAAAAGCTGTCTTCCACCAGCCAAAAAAGTGTATTTCAGAAAAGAGTTCCCAATGAACTTGTGAGTGTAATTGCTCCAACCGAATGTTTGTTCTTCCCTGGGTTTCGCCTTGGTTTCCTCTTGTTGCTCTGGTTTCATCCCACAGCAGGTCAGACTAACTGGAAACTTTCAAATGCCTGCAGGGCTGAGTGGGAATGAGTTTGTCTGTCTGTAGCTGTCTGAGCAGGACCAGTGGCTCAGAAAACAAATGGACGGATATTAGTTTACACTGCTCCACCCAACAGAAAGATGTTGTTAGCCGAGGCAGATGTTGTCTTGTGTCTTGAGTGTATCACGCCCACACGCATGTGACACAAAGCACTGATCGACGCCCCTGTTGTTCTTCGCAGATGATGGAAAGTTGTTCCAGGGCAGCGGGGTCGGGGACGCGTTTGGCCCGCGCTGCTTTGAAGGGGATATGATGGGCTGTGGGATCATGTTTCCACGTGACTACAGCCTGGACGCTGGAGGTGAAAGTCTTCATAATGTTTCCAAAAGCACTGTGCCTCAGCATGTACCACCTCTTATAAGCTTTCTTTCTATTTCTCTGTCTGGGTTCTCTCAGATGACGTAGATGATTGGGACTTTGACGTTATTCCCAAACCCAGTGAAGTTCAGAATGATCTGTATGCAAACAATGAAGAAGAGGAGGAGGAGGAGGAGGGAGAAGATTTGGAGGGGAGGAAGGTCACGGTAAGATGCTTTCAAGAGGAATATAAAATAGGGACTCTTAAATCCTTCAGTAGTTTCACACATACGGAATGTGCTTTGGTGTATACATAAACACAGTCAGGAAAACGCTATAAGAATACTGTATACATTTAAAAATTAAGTGTACAAATATTCATATTATCCCCTTGTGTTTAACAGGTGTTCTTCACCAGAAATGGAAAGGTGGTGGGCCGGAGGGACGTGGCCTTACCTGTGGGGGGCTTGTACCCCACTATAGGCATGATGAGCACTGGGGAGAAGGTCAAAGTGGACCTGCACCCCCTCAGTGGCTGAGTAGAGTGGAGAAAAAACTGCCGAGAAATCAGAGCATGGACGAATAATTGAGCTCTGGTACATTTTTGGAGATCAGATACTAAATAATACCTCCACATCAAAATGCTCCAAGATATGACTTGAAGAGTCCAGTGTAGAAGTGACTGTGGCTCATGCTGTAAGAATGATCAACATAATGTATGTTAATTTTACATGCGTGCCTTAAAGTGCTTTTATAATTCATGTTTTTCAGAAAATCCAGTGGTTTGCATAGGGAAAACTTTTCTCATCACTATGAGTAAAGTTCGTAGAATGCCAAAGAAAGGGTCACACCAGAATGAATGTTAAAATCCAATCAGAGCAAATGCCAGCCAACATGTGAACCCTCTTATCAGCAATAGATATGTGACAGCAGGCTGAGTCACACTGCTCATCACCGGAGGTCTGCTGTACCTCCTATCAACGGTGTGTTACTGACACTCAGTGGTGAGAGGGAGACATGCTCACATAGTCTTCCAAACGAAAGAAGTGGTGCACTGAATGGACAGTGCCTTTACTTAAATCAGCTGCTTTACACGTGTGAGTTCATATTCTGACATGGACTCATTACGCCATGTTTTGTGCAAACCTGCAATAGGAATAATGGGATAATTACATTTCCAAACATGTTGCTGAAGCTAAATCCAAAACAGTTTAATTGTCCTCTTGGGGGAAACAGTTTGAAAAGCTGAATTCTAAATTAGGATTGTTTTAATATCATGACTTGCTTTTGTCCTCTTTTAATATATGATGTTAACCAAAGTGTACGCGATGTAATGTAATCCAAATCATATGCTGGACATAATCACTGAAAAGATGCAAAAAAGAAACCAAAATTCATTTTTTCCCTTTTTATCTCGCGGTTTACCTTAAACTCCCGACAAACCAAGAGTAAAAGTGATTTCTATATCTAAGTTAACATAGTAATGATGGATACAATGGAACCTCATCGTTAGGGTTTAAGGGGAAATAGAAACTAAGTTGTCTCAGACTATTAGACTCTCTCACAACAAGAATAATTAAGGACTTAACATGGTATAGAAGTACATTTCAAGAGATTTGAATGTTGAAAATGAAGCCATACTGTAATATGTGCTGCTCTCAGGTATATTTGAAAATCCAAATTCACATGCCTCGTCTTTCCTGGTTATTTTTGTGATGTTGCTGTATGCTGTAAGTCAACCATTGATTGTCACAAGCCTGTATTTCTTTTAACACCTGTGCCTATTTTCCTTATAAATCTTATCTTTTTGACATTGAAGACTGTTCAAGGAGAATTTGTGATCCCCTCCCCAACTCCAAGTAAATGCTAAATGTTCCTATTGTTTTATTTTTTGCGACAACATTTTGCACACCTGCTTTGATTTCTGTGATGCAATTGGAAGTTATTCATGCAAATATAATAGGCTGTTAAAACTAGCTGTATATCATGGCTATAATAAACACACATAGTACTTCTTTAGGCCTAAAAGCTTTTAAAGGCTTGACCTAATGAGCAAAGTGCCTTGTTTAATATTCCATACGAGTGCTGGAAATGTCACATTATCGGATGCATGTTGCATAAATAAGGAGACATTGCATCCATGAAGTATCTTCCTGGTCAGCAAGACAATTTAAAGGCTGTTGCTCATGTGATGCTCAACTGCTGCTAAGTGTGTGCCGAGGGAACGCTCTGCACATCATTATATCAGCCCGCACTGTAGAGGGGTGTTCTCGTGTTTGTTATTCACTTTTCACTGTCATCGTCCACATTTGTGTTAGTGGTCATCTTATCATGGGAGCTAATGATGGGCGTCGGCTGCTGTTGGATGCATCAACTCACGTTTAATGTTTAGCCCCACTTTATATTTGATTTAATTAATCATGAATGAAGTTTGTTATTCTCAGTCCAGCCCTTGTGTAAATCCTGTAATGTATTTTTTTTCTTTTTTTCTTCTTGACTTTTATGGTCCTCCTTGTCTCTTTTCCCTTAAAGCATAATATAAATGACATTGGACATTTACTGACTTAAAATGCTAATGAGATCATCTTAGATGTCTTTTAAAATGCAGAACGGATATTTGAATCGCTAAATTATTTATGTATGCTGAATCTTTCTTCCCTGAACTGCATGGTTGGACCGGAGTTAAATTATCACAGTTATTATTGTCTTAGCATTTCAGGTGCTCTATTTAGGTTTTATAAGAAGTGATGACCCTAAAGCTGTTCAGAGTGGAATATCAATGGCATTATTAAGGCATAAAGATGTTACATGAAAAATGTTTTGTTACTGTCTTCGATGTTTTAAACTATGCAAGTACTTACAGCACTCGTACTAATTATTTAAAAATCTAAAAAAAGGGTCTTTAAAAAAGGACATTATATCCATCATCCAGATATATTGAGCGTTTTCTTTGGATTCATAGTGGCTGTCTGTTCTCAAATGCATAGCATGAAGGACGCTCCTAAACAATACATGAATACAACAAGATGAAACTCTGACATTAGCCAGCAGGTAAAGAAACCTGAATCAAGTAAAACACAATCGTCTCCAGTGAAAACGTGCTGGATGTTAAAAGTCAAAGTCATTGGCTGCAAACTCCATTTCCATTTTGATATATTTTAATTGTGTTTCAACAACATTTTAGACAGTAAGCCCCTTTATGTCGTTATACAAATTATGAAAAAATATTCTGCAGGGCGAACAAATGTTCCAGGCACATTACAAAATACAAAATGTTTTACAAACCATATAAAGTGGATCACATTTGGAAATGATGAACACAAATCCAGAAGGCCCAAGGAGATGATTTATATGCTACTTAGACTTGAGTATGGCTGTTGGTAGAAACGTTAATTAATCACATTTTCTCCTCCGAATGTTGCTATGGTGATTAGAAGAGTTCAGGAACAGGTAAATGATCCACCAAACCAGAGAGCCCCCTGCAGGATACTGATATTAAGGTCTACTGAAAAAGGCTCACTAACAAATCAGTAGACTGCTATTGTCTGCTATTAAGTATTTTAACATTTCCAGTTATTTCTAAACTAATTTTGTTGATTTCTAGGGTCGCTCAAATGTAATCCAGAGCTTTCTAATGTGTTTTACGTTTGTTTCTAGTGTTGACAATTGAAATCGAGGCATTTTGTAAAAAGAAAAAGAGCTACAAAACACCCAGACATTTACTCCCTGAAAACATTGTGGTGTGTGCTTTTTGGTAAAAGATTATTTGGCCTTTTCTGGTTTTAAGAAAGTGCAAAAATAATGACTGTTTAGCTGAATGTCCTTCAAAAGCACTTAAAGTGCTGCCTAAAGTTTAAGGGTTTTTGGACACATCACCTACAAATGACATGATGGTGCATCAAATGATCAAGAGATGATTACATTAAATAGAGGCATGAGTGCTTTGGAGTGGTTACAGAACAGAACGTACCAGGTTTGATTCCAACCTTGGGACATTTCACAGCCCCCCCCCCCTCTCGCCGCTATTTCTAAACTTGCCTCTGACAAACACATGCAAAAATAAAACATAATATAACGTTAATGAATGCATAGAGGCCGACCTTCCAGTATAATCAGGCTGAATTAGATATTTATCAGTATACAATTAAATTGTAAAAAAGGAAAATCAAACTTTTGTAATTTAACAATTAAAAGGCAGTTATTGAATATAAAAGCACATACACACACCTATTCCACATTTTCGCAACTCTCCTATAACACTAAAATCCTGCAAAGCTACATTTGTGATCTACCAATAAACTGAATATACAAAACCGAAAAAGTGTTATAGGGTGGCTGGAGGTGACTAAAGGACTGTTAGATGTTTCTATGAGTCAGAGTCAGAGTCCCCATAGTAGCGGTTCCTCTTGATCATATCCTCCGCACTCAGCTCCTCTGCATCACTTCCTTCTTTGTCCTCCTCCCAGAAGCCCACATCCTGGGAGGCGCGGTCCTGCTTTGGCTGTGGAGGTGGAGAGGCGGACGGTGAGATATCGGGGGAGTTGCTTCTCAGAGAGCGTTCTTCTTCCACCATCTTGTCTTCTGCTGCTGCTGCTGCTGTTCCTCTCTTCCATGGCTTCTCTCTCTCTTCCAGCGGCTCGATCTCCACAGCCTCGTCTGAGATGGCATCGCTTGTATTCTCTTCATCTTCGCTCGGTATTCGAGGCAATGATTCTTCTTTCTTTTCCTGCCGTTTCAGCTTCTGAGGCTCTGGCTTCTTCTCCACTGCTGGTTCTTCAGACTGTTTCTCCTCGAAGGATGCCCTCCAGTCCAGCAGGGATTTGAGAGGGCGCCGAAGCTCCCTGGGCTCCGGGGGGGCGGCGGCGGCGCGGGGTTTGGGTGCGATTGTAAAAGGCCGAATGCGCTCCTTCAGAGAAGAGCTCCTCCTCAGGCTCTTCAGCTCAGCCCGGTCTGAGCTCTGGAGCGATGAAGGCACCTCGTCCCCCGGGGGCCACTTGGCTCTCCAAGGTCGGTTTGAAGAAACTCCCTCTGTGACTGGACTGAGTGCTTCTGTCCCAGAGGGGCCCTCACCAGCCGGGGGGGGCCAGGCGACCCTCAGCCTGCGTTTCTCCACCGGCTTCTCTGCAGAATCTGGCTTGTCCTCGGCCCTGACAGGTTTCTGCACACGTGTCTCCAGTCTGGCAGCCAGGTCTCCTACCTTCACCGGCTGAGAGGTCTCCACGGCCGGGGGCCCCTGTTTCTCTGAGACAGTCTCAGCAGGACGCGTCACCGCTGCTGGGGCCGCTTGCTCCCTCGGTGTCAACACTTCCTCACCTTCCTCTCCATCAGCTCGAGGCTCCCAGAGCTCCTTGTGAGGCCGATGGCCGAAGCCCTCGTCATAGTTGCCTTTAGCTTTGAACAGCTGGCTGAAGTGGGGCTTGCAGTAGACTTTGCCATGCAGAGAGGCGTAGTTCCCAAGACTAGAAATGAAAAATGGCAAAGATGTTATAATTTCTGTTTTTGAGGTTCTTGTGGTCGGCCACCAGGGAGGCATTTCAAAATCACGTTGAAAATGTAGGAAATATATGACAGTGCACAACTGACCTGAGCGTGGTGCTGCAGTGAACACAGCGGAAGCAACTTTTGTGGTAGACATGCTGAAGAGCGACCAGTCTTTCCAACGGGTACACCGTCTTCTCACAATCGACGCACGTCTCCCTCACCGGTGCGCTGAACTTCTAAACACAATGAAAGTAACACAAATCCATAATTAGAAAGGGCTAAAATGGCACATTTCATGAATGTGTCCATCTTTTTGTAATGACTGACTCACCCGAGTTGCTTTGGGCTGCTCGCTGCTGCTGTCCCCTGAAACAGACAAAGCACCAGTCAGTGTTTTACTGAGCAGCTGGAAAGAGCAATCAAACCAAACTGTGTCTGACACTCGATGTCAGAGTAATTTGGGAATATTAATATATTAATGTTCCATTTTCCATTACAGGTTAAACTGCATCAATAACACTAACAATGCCCTTTGAGTGTCCACTACGACTCACCATTGCGTTCAGGTGCAGGAATGTGTTTCTGAATTGATGGTACAGATGTTTTTGGAGCAGGCACCTCTGCGGCCTGGAGGAAGCACAAAGGGGAAGAAAAAGAGGGAACCAAACACATGTGTCAAGTGGCTGCTACATAAAGAACTGCTGTGTATTTCCCAGTTAAAAAAACAGACTTTGAAAACACCTGTATTTACCAAAACCCCCCACTGTTATCCCAGTTATATGTTTAAATTCAGCTCTTGTTGAACTCACAGAGCGGGTGGCGCCTTGTTTAGAAGCAGCAGCCTGATACTTGGCCATCTTGTCCCTCGTGGATGTGGAGTCCAACACTCTGTCACGCACAGTCGGACCTAAAGCAGGAAATATAAACACGCTTAATCCTTTCATTGTATTCTGCAGTAAACACACATCAAAACTATGGCTGCATTTCACACGTTTCATTGTGTTCATTGAAACAAAACGTTCTTCTAACTCGGTGGATTTGAGAAAAAAGTTAGGGGTTAGGAGATGACAATTATTTAATTCTGCGTTTCGCACCACCCCCACTAAATGTGCAGAAGCTCCATTCATTATCTAAAGTGCTGTGTGTGTGTGTGTGTGTGTGTGTGTGTGTGTGTGTGTGTGTGTGTGTGTGTGTTTCTTTACCCCCATGTTGGTCCATGTCCTCTGATGAAGTACTGCGAAGGGTTGTCCTGCCAGCCTGTAAGAGGAAAAGGGAAAGAAAAATGGTTGAGATCAGAGGCCTAGTTACTAAGTTAATGGCATGAAAAAGTACAAAATGCACAGCCTATATGTGAGGCACTAACTGTTTCACAAATGGATATCACAAGACATCCAGACCAATTATTCACAAAAGTTTTGGAATGCAACATCCTCACATTTTGGAGAAAACTGCAACAAACAACAACTTGATTAAGATGCCTTAGTGGGAGATTCAGGGACACGTACTATATCTAAATCTTTCAACCTTAACTGAGGACCTGTAGGTGTCTTTGGGACATACTTCTCAAACACCAAACTACATGCTGCGTCTCAGCAACACTTCACTAAATACACACCAGCTCAAGTAACAGTCACCAGTTTTTATACTTTTTGACATCTGTCTCCAGCAGAAAAACTGCCAGGTATCTGCATGGACAGGCACCCTGCAACATGCCTTTAACCCCTGCTTTGTGTGTATGCCCATGTGTCACTAACACTAATAACTAAACCAGACAGTTCCTCTCAGCAGTTTTCTTGAACACACACACATACACACACGGGTGGAGAAGAGTTTTGGACAATTAAAGTAGAACCTTTTTTTCAGAACGTTTTAGTGGGACTGTGGATTTGTGTTGTGCCACCGTCGTCCTCATCCAATCCAAACCACCAAACGCAATATAAAACACTCAAAGCTTTGTGTATACTAAATATAAGGAGATTGAACCTTTTCTTGCAGGATTATTGACAGAGTAAGTGTTACAACTCAGTCCACCCTGTAAATGTTCAACAGTAACCGAAGGCCATATGTCAGCATTTTTAGACACTGCAACTTTCCAAAAAGTTTTCAAGCAGTGTGTTGAAAACTGTAGCACACACCACGAACTGCACAGCATGACATAAAAAAACCTATAAAATGGAAACCTAAAACTGAAGCTCAGGGCTGCTGGAAACACACACTGTGGCTAATGAAAAGTGAGATAAAGCCCGTCGCTCCTCAGAGGTGATCCTCTGAAGAAAGAAACAGCTTTCGGTCAGGAATGTTCCCACATTCCTCTCTTATGGAAGGTGAAGAGTGGAGGGCTTGTTGTTTTGGGCTAAGAGGGAGAAAGACACTGAGGGAGAGTGAGAGACAGAAAATGGGGGGGGGGGGAGAGAAGGGCCACAAACCAGGTGGAACAAGACATCTTCTGAAAATACAGGGGTCAGTGGACACTGCATCTGAAAGTATGACAACCTAAACACAACTCGGCTAATTTATGGTCAAAGAAAGGACCTTGTCCTTAGCTGCTGTATGGAAACGGTTATTATACTCAATAACAGGTGGCTTCTTATCTCTGTTTTACATATGCAAACTAATTGCATTGTCCTACAACAAACAGCACCACTCATTCCTGTCCTCTGTTTAGTTTAGTAGCAGTCACTATTGTTTTACTGTAAGGCTGGAGGGCGCTTTTCCACTGCAGGGCCTGGTATGGTTAGGCCTTGGTAGGCCAGGCTCCCTTTATGCTGCGTTTCCATTACAGTTTACCAACTGGGGTAGTAACTATAGTAACGCAGTGTAGGCGGGGCGATCGGCTGTTCGAAGGGCGGAGCGACGTTGCGTAAAACTGCTGGGACGTCATCTTCAATGCGAACCACAAAACCAAAACATCAGCCGTTAGCACTCAGAGCTCACAGCTCCTCATATCTGTACAGAAATAGGACAAAAGTTAAACATGTATAAACCACAGACTGTCTGTGTCATGGTGAATACAGTCGTTGGTTTATTTATGTCTGTAGGCCGTTATTGTGAGTGTGGACGGAGCATATACAACGTTAGCTTAGCCTGATCGATCCGATCTCCATTCGGAAAAAAATGCATTTTTCGCCTGCCGTCTTGTCTGCAGACCGGTATCAGAATGTTGTTACTTCGGCATCATTTTGAAACGTGTATTACAATTAAATCACGGTAAAATATGTGCATTTTGTTGTAGTTGTAGCCCCCTTGCCAGCGATTCACTCTGACCATTCAGCAGTCGAGTCTTTACGTCACTAGTTTAGCATATTCAGCCCAGTTGTTGGCCCGGTAAGAACCTTGATTTTGGAGGGCCAGAAAAAAGGTGAAAAAGTAGCCCTGAGACGGAACCTAGTGGAAAAGCAAAAAAAAGCTTAAACCGTGCTACGTGCTGCAGTAGAATAGCGCCATAACTGTTTAAAGAGTTCCTTTAAAGATTTGAATTGAAGCAGATTGAGGTAATGCAACATAAAGTTAACTACATCTTTTCTTCTCAACATGGGTTCAGAAAAGGGTGTTTATGACCAATGCCTGAGAAACTTGGCCAACACATTAACAGCTGGCAATGCTGGCAAACAAAGTGACCAAGAGCCTCATTCATAAGCAAATATGTTCTCAGTTAATGTCGAATGTAGGCACAAATTGAGGACTTTTTTAAATATTGCAATAAAGTGTGGAGGGGCTGTCCCACCTAGAAGTGTCTCAAATGTGTCTGATGTTAAACATGATCTGATTTTGTGTGTACCTTGCCCATGGTCTCCTCTCCCCTCTCAAACTTCATCTTCAGGTTGGTTAGTGGCACTCTGGGTTTTTCATAAGAGGCACGGGGGCTGGTTGGAACTTGCTCTTCAAGCTTTTCAGGTCTTTCCCGGTGTGTCAGCACATCCCTCTCCATCTCGGTTTGCTCTTCGCCTTTGGATGCCTCTGGAGATGCTGCGGGCTTCTGGACCACACTGGCTGTAAGTTGATCTCCCTGAGAGGGTGGCAGCCCGGGGCTCTTCAAAGGAGGGCCGTGCTCAGCAATAGATGCAGGCCTGGCCAGAGCAGGGGGCCTGCTGCGAGGGGGGGGCTGGCTGGGGGTCGGGACGGAGGACGGCTTGTTCTGTGGCTGCTCCCAGCGCTTCTTCAGAGCACTCAGATTGCCCGGCCGCAGGGAGGATGTCACACTGTCAGACTGTGAGGAAGACAAGAAAAGATTAAAACTTTAGTCAAAGTCAACTTTATTGTCAATCTTTCAGAGACAGATCAAAATACCGTTTCCCACAATCCTGAATACAAATATATATATAAAAATATGTATATACCGATATATACACAATCAACAGACACATTTATACATATGCACACATTAAGACATAAATAAAAGCACAACAATCAATACATACAAAATAACAGTCACTTCAATATCTTTGGGAAATGTACATTAGTGCAAGATTGTCCATAGCAGCGTAAAAGGTGCCTGGTGCTGGATCTAAGTGTCTGTGTCCCAGTCGGGAGAGGGGGGAGGGAGGGGAGGGAGTTCAGCCTCCTGACAGCCTGGTGGAAAAAACTGTTCTTTAGTGAGAATTATTCAAAAGCACTGCCAATTAAAAGTATAGTTTGGTCTTGTTCCTGTCATCTGTCTATATGGTGAATTATAAAAGTATTTCCTTTTGGCAGCAAACAGTACTAAACCCACAGCTGGATGGAATAAAGGAAATGCCAGAATCTGAGCTTGGCTTCACTGACAGATTAGGTGAACAGCTGTTCAAAGTTGGTCCAGGAAGTAGATGTTTTCCTGCGGCAACTGAAGGCTACGATTGGCTCAAGATGGACATAACAGGGACGAGCATGCAGGCAGATTTTATTCAGCTGCATTCCTTTCCACGCGACAACTTCACCTTTCCCAACACAACACTGGGGAGTGCTCTGTTCAACACTCAGCCATTCGTGACAATAAAACATTTTGAGCAGCAAACTGCACAACAGCTCCACAGGAGGCACACTACTGCCGGGTGACCGCTGTGAACTTCCTTTATTTTGAAAAAGGAATGACACGTTGAATAAAGAGGATGTGGATATGTGAATAAATCACTTTCATATAAGTAAAATAATCAACAAATAAATCTTAGAGAACATTGTGAGCTTTTGTTGGAAAGCCTCCCAGCTAAAGTCAAGCCAGAAGAAAACATTTAAACAATGTTATGTTAGGAAAACCTCCACAAAGTACAAATGAATCTAACATTTAATATAAAGAGGATTAAAGTTAACCAACAAAGAAAAGCACACAATTACTCCCTATATGAACAACTTATAGCATAACAGTACAGAAAACTACATCTGGTAGATCTACAAATAAGTTATAAGAACATGTAAGAACACAATCAGACAAAAAGAGGAAGAATACAAATGTGAGAATAAAGAACTGAACAGAAGGGACAAAAACTCCAAAGTGTACAAAAAACTGACGCACAATTACTGTCTTTGTGAGGAAAGTCCGGGGTGAGCAGAGAAGGCAGGACAGTGGCAAGATTGTTCCCGTTTTTTAAGCAATTGAAAAAAGGAGAAACTTGTGAATTTGTTTGAGTACAAACAAGATGTAACTACAACTTGACAGCAATGAAATAGAGAGTCCTTTGGCTGGTCCTTCACAGGTCAGGCTGCTGAGAGACAGAACTCTCACAGATGTTAGCAGCTGAACAGAATCTGAGAGCTAGTCCAGCCCCTTTAACACCAGGAGAGTGACTGAGAGAGGCAGAATACACAGGAAACCACAGCAGGAAATGATACATTCAGGGAAAAGTTAACTCTTTGTATGCTGTGCCGGCTTTTACATTATCCACTCACTAATTATTTCTCAAGATAATAGCAATACAAATGTGTCTTCTTAGCACTTCTTTTGAGAGATTGAAAAGAAAGGACATAACATATGGAATACACGCCAAAGTGTAGGGAAAACACTGGAAGGAAAAAGAACAATAGCCACTAAAACTGATGTTTTTAAAAGATTTGTTTTAGTTGCATTTTAACCGGCGTTTGACAAAGGACAATGTAAAAGGTTGATGACATTTAGCAAAGGTCGTAAGGCTGGATTTTAAACCTGATTAAAACCCCGGATGTTGCAGTTAAAAAGTATTCACTCTCGCCTTCTTGCTTTATTGTGTTTTCATCCTCTGTGGTTTTTAACGTATGAAATGACATGTACTGATATATATGTTGTATAACCCTGAGCCCATCAAAGAAAAACGCAGAATATTGTACGAAAGAAACTGTTTAGGGCAGCTTAAGAAGAGACACACCAATCAATAACAAGCAAAACCTGAATCTACCAAAAACACACCTTAACTATAAAACTGAATGAAGTAGTACTAGTTGTCCATTTGTCTTACGCTATTACAATATATTGAACTGCTCCCTGTACACTGGAGATGAAGTCTAAAGGAGACAATACACGCTGTAAATGTGTAAATGCTCCTCTATGGAGAGAGATGCCTTGATCTTTCAAACTCCCCCTTACTAAGGACCTTAGACTAGCTGCACCATGTGGACCAATGCTGAGACCGTCAAGCCCATTTGAAGGCTGATGGGGATTACTCTGAGGGAAAATGATCTTCCCCAATGTGATAACAGCTCTCAAATCTAGTACATAGATTACAAAAAAATATTTCACAGATTATATTCAGAGTTCCTCAGTTATTTTCTGATAATGACCAACATAATTACAGACCACTCACAAATAAATTCAGTTCAGTATGATGTCCAAACACTATATAATAATTAATAATAACACACACACACACACCATATTTCATAGAGAACATTACCTTATATTTCTTCATGTTATAGGCTGATGATCAGTAACTAATTATCTCCAGTACTGCTGCAGTACATGATGGTGCAACAAAGAGCATTTGTAAGGGATTACACTGAATTAGGATTATAGGTTTGATAGCCTGCCCATCGCAACAAGTAGCCAATGAGAGGTCAGGAAAGACAGTGTGTTGGCGTGTTGATTGGTGTTCAATTATAATCATCACAAGCAGCTACTGAGCATAACATGCAGCATGCACACACTTCAAGTAACCATTACATTTGACTAGCAGAAGCAGATGAAAGAGCTATAAATGTATCGTAGATTTAGATTTCCATGGGTGAAACCTCAAATTAAATCAGTCTTTCTTGTAACAACTTTAGGAACAGCTGTACACTGCTATTTCATAAACCTCAACAAATCTCGGATCTGAACATCTATGGAAATGCCATTTCTTAACAGAGATATACTCACTCCTTTTTTCTTCTCCGCAGTTGACACTTCAGCAGCTTTTTGATACCTGAGAGAGACAGAAACAACAGTGACCTCTGGGAACTCAAAACCAAAACATTTACAATCTTTTTCTTGCATTAAAACAGGTTTGAGTTAACAACAAACATCAGTGGTGTTACTCACTTGGAGAAGCGTTCAGCGAGGGCATTGTTTCTCCCTCGGCCGCTGAGTGACAGCTCCTTCGCAGTGACTCGCAGGGACTGAGCCGCCCAGTTCCGTCGATTGAAGGGAGCACTTTCCATCTTTAGACCGTATCAGAAGACTTGAAATAAAACACAAACCACTGTTAGCTATGTACTACATCAGAGGTCGGCAACCCCTGGCACGCGTGCCAGCATTGGCACGCGGCACCGTAACCAGTGGCACACTAGGAATAAGTGGAATAAGTGTGCAATAATAATATAATAGTATTTTCGGATCCTGAACGAGACCGCCGCCAGAGCGCGTCTACCTGCAGAAGGAAGCCATGCACGCAACGCAGCCCCGCTCTCTTTAACTCCAGGTGACTTTCTGCCGCTTTCCTCTGTGGTGCAGTGCTGATCGTTTCACCACAGAGGAAATCACTTCACAAATTGCAGTAGCCTACCCATAAGGAGCTGTACAAATGCCGCCGTTTTTGCGTGGCTGTGTCTTTAGTTGAAAGCCCAGTGGCGATCTGCTCATCGAAATAATATGCTACAAAGGGGCGGACTGGCCATCTGTGTGTTGAACTTTCCTGTCGGCTCCCAGACCGTAGTCGAAGAGGGAAGCAGCAACAAGCTTCAGGTTCAATAACCCACTTCAGCTTAAATGACTGGAGAGAGGCGAGCTCTTCTTGGGAGGCCGTTGCATTTATTTAGCTGTTCTTCTGTTTCACAAAATACATCACAGACAGACCTCTGTTTTTCTGCTGCTTCGTTTCACTTCCAGAAACATACACACGTTCCCTCACTGTCGCTCTACCATCCACACACATACATGCACAAGCCACACCCCCTCTCTCTCTCTCTCTTAAAGGGACAGCGATCTCTTCTCACTCTGCATGACCCTAATATCATAACATGTGTGTTCTGGAGAATCACAGAACGGACGATTGTCCTTATTATTATGCCGTTTAAACCAATTATTTAAATGTGGTTAATGTATAAGTTTCGTTGACAGGTCCACACAATGTTCCCCCGCAGCGAGGCTCACCCCGCCCTCCGGCTGATAGTTCACGAGCGTCAAGCTCCTCAACCCCCCCCCGTTGATAATTCTCGATCGTCGGCACGCTGAGAACAATTTTTTTTTTAAATGGCACTTCATATCAAAAAGGTTGCCGACCCCTGTACTACATCATAGTAACCCTTCTAAATCATTTCCCAAACCTTTGTTGGGGAAAACTAAATGTCAGTCTCAGTTCAGCTGTTGATAAATGCAGTCCCCCCCAGCTAATTGTTCGAAAGTAAATCAAGGTAACACAGCGTTGGATATACAAATGGTTTTGTTGGTGAAGTATAATTTAAAAAAAACAGCATGTACATGTAACCAGATACAAAACTTCTTGATATGCACAGTCCAGGTTTGTGTCTGAGATCAGTGATTCAGTCTGTATCATGCTATCCATCAATTAACCCCACAACTCAACACGCTGACATACATACCAAAGAGTGGCTGCCCATCTATGTGTTCATACAGCATGCATGCAAACAAACAACTTAGCATGTTTGAACTTGCAGACCGGTTTGTGCCACATGAATGCAAAATGGAAACACAAGAGTGAGCACATTATCATTATGAGAGGATAACTCGCCATAGGCAACATCCACAAAAGACCAGAGAGAAGCAGCGCCTGACAATGACACAACATAACACAAAGTCTTTTTTAACGTCACTTGGACAGACCTACACTTAAATAGGTGCTACAGACGGAAGATGCACCTTTGATGCAGTTTCAGAGACGTCTTAATGTCAGACTATGAATCCGACTTTACTGCTCAGACAGAATATTATAACCCTATGTTAAAATCACCACTGTGCACAGCTGACAGACTCAATAATCATTTACTAACAAGGCCTTTTTACTCAGTTACACCTATTACATCACCACTCAGTAGCAAGGCAATGCTGGTGACAAGTGGGAGGACTTTGGACTTAACTGAATTTCAACATAAGCCGAGTAGAAAACTGTCGAATGCAACTACACTTCACAACTGCGTGTATTACCTACATAGTAACATAAATGTTATATTACATCATAATCATATGTAATAATGATATATAATGTAATGTAATTAATTACATTGACTGTCAGGCCATTGTTTGTGCTTCTAGATGGGCAAAGATTAGAAACAGCACAATGATATGAAGGGCGGTCGACTGACTATTGGGTTTCTCCCGTCTGAATCGCTTGAGGCTATTTACAGTTGTTACATTGTTCAGAGGCCGATGGACAAGTTAGTTTACCATGTCTTTGATTAGTTTCATTTAATTTCAAACCTTTATTTACCCAGGTGCATCCCATTGAGATCATTGATCTCTTTTTCAAGGGAGACCTGCTCAAGTAGGTTCCACATGAAACAATAAAAAAATAACAGAGACAACAAAAAAGCCGACTACATACAGCCATCCATTCGGGCTTTACAACTGTTGACGATCAAAAAGGACCTCATACAGCATCATTACGGGGTTTACAATTGACATAACTATCCACATGAGCAGGTACCAACAGTTTCCGATTGAGTAGCTGTATGTTATACTGTGTCCAGTTACTATTCAAGGGGTACATTGCTTTAAGCACAGAACCATTTAACCTGCCAGAACTTCCTCTTTCTATCCCTGTTAGCTCCATTGTATGATGTCGAGCTAAAGCAGGGACACACCCTGAACAGGCCACCAGTCCTTCACAGGGATAACACAGGTGGACTGAGTAAAGAGTCGCCAATCCACCTGTTTTGCATATCCTTTAACGGTTATAGAAATCAACATCAAAAACATGGAGGACACAACTCCATGTGAAAATGACTAGGGCTGAGAACTGAACCTCATGTTGGTCTCATTGTTTAGAAGTCAATACTCTCTGGACAGTTTTGTATGAGAAGCTAGAACCACGCAGGAGACCACTCTCACTAATGACGACATGCAGGTGTAAATGTAAACTATACAAACAAAATTAGTTTAAGTTAAACACATGGAATTTAAACATAAAGATAGATCTGCTGTACAGATATAAAGCACCCTGAGGAAAATGTGTAATTTGCTTTATAAGTAAATTGTGTTTGACTGATTTTCTGTAATAGGTTTAGTTGATTTGTGTTAATGACTCCTCTTCAAGCTATAAGCAGAGACATTAGAAGTAGCATGGTATACATTCCCACGATTTTCCAGCTCCCATTGCTCTAATGATTATTTGCTTTACCTCCACCCTTCCTGGAATTATGTCATTCACTTTGTGTATTACTTCTCTGTATAGAAGATTACAGAGAACATAGACGTTATGGTAATTAATCATAGATAACGAAGAAAATACAAGTTGTTCTTGATTCAAGCAAGTTGCAAAGCCGAGCAATGTCAAGCGTTAAAACCATTGCCAATCTGATTTATGAGCTTTTGAAATCTGCTTATCAAAACTCCCGCATTTAGCTTCATCTCCATCACTCTTTATCAGTGAAAGGTGGACACTGACCTTTAACCCTTGCATTAAGACCAACCTTTCTTTCAAAGCAAGTAACCACAACACAATCAGACACAGTATGAATATGACTCATAAGGAGGAGTCGGCAATATTTAGCGTATGATTGACCAAGAAGCAACTCCTATTTAAAGTAAAATGCACAATATCAGGTGATAAAATGTATTTTTTTTAAAGTGTTGAAGATTGGTAGCTCTTACGAGGCCAGCTTGTTAACTGGAGAATGTACATTTCAGGTTTGTTGCATCGTAAAAAGCGAAACTAGTTTGAGAGCCAACATTTAGTTATCTACTTCATAGAGCATTTTGTTATAAGTTGTATTCAGACTGAGCAATATAATGGTAAGATCTAAGACTTCAACACAGACTCAGCAGCTGGATTGGGTTTGCATCGATACATAGCCTATCTCCAAACAGTAAGTGCTTTAAGAGCAACACAGAGTAGCCTACGCCTAGTACGTGCACCTGCATTATTTCAAAAAATCAAAGGCTAAACGTTTCCACCGATAGGTTCGTTCGACTATTCAAAATGTGTATATATATATCTATATATATTTGACCACAGCCCGAACCCGAGCCATTAACATACATTTTCACGTCCTTTCTTTGAGTTTTGTCTTACCTGTGCAAACTTCCGTTGAGTCACTCGTTCTGTGAAACCTTGAGACACCTGACACTAGCTGCCGCCTCTGCGTCACCGCCCGGTGTGGGACAGGCAGAGGTGGAGAGACCAGAAAGGTGTCATGGGAGTGGAAGAGACGGGTCATGTGACTTTATGCACCAATAAGCTTAGGTGTTGCATTACCCCTACCTGGTACATGTCTGTGAGCCAGTGCGTGGGTGCGCCCATCACCAACCCACCCACACCCACCCAAATTCCTGCGAAGACCAAGCAATACTCATTCATTTTTCAAGGAAAATTAAAGCACGGGGAATTAATTAAGAGAGATAAAGAAAGCAGAAACAACTCAGGTCTCTTGGACAAAACAGCATCTGATTCTCCAGAGACTGATGTAGACTAGGACACAGTTTGGTTGAACACTGCTCTTATAAAAGTGATTTGGTTAAATGAAATATATTAGTTTACAATACTACTAAAATGACTATACTAAGAATAATAATAGTCATAATAAACTTTATTATCATCATTCACTTTACAAGATGCTCCAAAGATTTACAAAAAATAGAAGAAGAAAGAAATTAGCAGAAATAAAAAAGAGCCCTAATCAGACATGTTCATGCTCCTAAGGCAATCTTGTTAATGAACGGACAAGTATATAAACAACTTTAAAAAAGGCAACTTTTTAGCTATATTTGTGGGATGTAAAGGTTGACGATGTGGAGAGTGCATTGGATGTTTGCATTCCATTTGCCTTCTAAATAAGTCAAGTCAGGTAGTGTAGTGCAAAAGGAAATCATGGCATTCATTTGAGGAACTTACATGAGCTCAAGAAGCTTTGCCATCCTTTCTTGGACCACCACAGTATCTTTGATCCAACCTTCATTTTGAGCTCCACTACACGTCTGTAAAGTGTTGTGTCTACATTGCATGGTTGTGACATAATATATCCCGTGTCGGAAATATAAAGATCTGACAAAGTATTCAAAACCAGTTTTATGATCTGGTGTCTACATTCGTAGGCCTACATTTTTTGCAATGATGACACACAGACTTAAAAGCTAAAGAGAATACCAGAGTATCTGCTGCAAAGATACACTAAAGTAGTAATTGAGTAAATGTATGTTACTCAGACCCATAAATAAATAAATATTTATATTGAATGTTATAGATTTTGCAAATGTCCAAGTCCAATAATGGAAAAACAAACATTTAAAGCTACTCCTATGTTATTAACCCGTTGCACGAGAACCAATTAAGAAAGCAAGTATTTTTTTATTTTCAGATTGACATGTAAACTCAACTATTAAACCCATAAAAAAACAAACAGCAAAGTTTAGACTATAAACTCACTAATATAAATCAACACTGCCACCATTGAGGATGACGTCACGCTTGTTAAACGGCAGTTTGGAGGGAGCTAAATTGTCCTTTAATATTACAAGATTCAGCTTTAATAATAAAAATGTTACCCTCATGTTACTGCTAAAAAAAGGATTTTAGCCTGATGCACACTTTAGACAACGGGGTGAAAGGGGGAAGCGGATCGAGCCACTAAAACTGACATAATATAATATCAAATATAATCCCTGTTTTCTTTAATTTGAGTGCCCACTCCTTATTTTTCATCTTTTCAGTCGTCGTCTGCTACAGTCTGAGGCAAGCCGTTCTCAACACCACAACCAATGAAGGCGTAACATCTTCACAAAAATAATGGATTAAAAAACTGATTCTCTTCGCATTTTCTGCCATCGCTCTGTGTTCACTGGGAGCTGGAAGAAGAAGATGCCCCTTTTCTGTTCGCTTGAGGATCTGCTGTGTGGGGGAGAGGGGAACATCCTGTGGCGTTTCCTGTGTTTGTAAACTAGACGGTCGTGAAAACGTCGGGCGAGTGAAGCTGAAAGGTAGATACAAATCTCTTTATCATCTTCGATGGTTACATTTTAACCGTGCATTCCATGGTGTGCAATTTTATTTGCACGCAGTCATGCTTGGAGGTGGCCGCAATGGGATTTACTTTATATTAGAGCGTCAATGTTGGCCATTGCTAGCTCGCTAACAAACGCTAGCTTAATCATCGGGAGGGGGAGGCACTAGCAACGACGGCCATCACGAATGTCTTTATCGCTCAATCTTGTCTTAACTAGTTGAGCTTGTTTCTTAAAGTATCCTCATAAAGAAACGATGCATCAGTCCAGTCTGCAAAATAGATACTCCCTTGAAGCTACCGTGTAAAACAAATGAGCAGTTGGGCTAATAAATGTTCGGTTTCTAAGATTTCAGTGGGCGAGAGCGCTAGCGAGCAGCTAGCTTCTGGCTAGCCGATGTTAGCCAGCTTCTTCAACATCAGCAAAACTAACGTTAGGTTTGGCTGGTAATGCGAAGGCCAGCTCACCCAGTGTTGATGAATGACATGTACATTTTAAAACCAACATTGTTATGATTATGGCATTTCTTCCGCTTGCAACTAACTAAACAGCAGCCAAAACAATAAAACTGTACGACGTGGCTAAGATGTATTTTAATTTGGGGTAGCCACTGTTAGCTCTACGCTAGCTGTCTATTTTCCTCGCAGCGTTAGCTAGCTAACCAACGCTAATGGCGAAAGCACTGTGTCTTCAAAGTATATATCTGCCTTTTTTTTGTTGCAATGTGATAGCACACACATTAACGTGTTGCCACAGATTAAGAATCTTGAAAAGTCATAACAAGATACAGCCATGTTTTTGTTGGTGAATTAATGGCCTCCTCTTAACATATAACGATAATTGTTAAAGCCCCATGGCAAAATATACGTCTTAATGTACTAGATTAGCAAAGGTGCAGAGCGATTGCATTATTTACTTTCATACATAAATAACGTTATTTTTACTGCATTTGTTAAATGTTAGCTTTTGCACTCCCTTTTCACTAGAAATGTAGAATTGCAACCAGTCTTTTTTCTTGGTTTTTGTCTCGGTTTATTCTTTCAGAAACGTTCCCATTAAGCTAAACTGTATTAGGAAAGTCGTGCTTATAAAGGTGTATTGTACGGGATAAAAGATGTACGCATTTTCTTTTAGGAATGAGGACAATTATTTAACTCTTATCTTCTACATTATAGCTGGAATATGCTTTACGCTTTAAAAGCTGTGTTTTAATTTTTAGGATTTCACCTAAATGTAATCTCGATAGATAAATAAACTCAAAGTCAAATAAACTGAAACCAATTGGGACCTTTGATTCACATACATTGTTATATCGGGAAAGGGTGCTAATGAACCCTCTTTTCCACCCCAACATGTTGAAACATTTTAATGTGAGTCTTCAACCATTGAAGGTTTTGGGTTTATTGACACTATTTAGTTTTAAACATCTCCAGGTTTTACAGTGTAACATTGTTTTGTGTTTTTAAATGTGAATGTTCTATATTAATGTAATGTGTTTTATAATTTGGTTGTGCTTTAGAATTATTCTCCTCCTAAATTCTTCCCTTATCCTACATTTCTGTACAGCCCCCTCCTGACTTCACGTTTGAATTTGTTTTTCCTTCATGTCATACAAACAAGTATGAATTTACTTTTTATAATACTTAATTAATACATATAACCTCCATCTATGCTCTGTGGTATTAAGTTAGCTGCAATGCAAACTACAGATCTGTATCAGTGGTAGCCATTTAACTAACTGGATAAAAAAAACAATTAAATTGTTGTATTATTGTTTGGTAGTGTGCCATAAATAACACATTTGCAGCTACAACCAGTAAACTCTGTTTATGGTAAGCTTTGTTAATGGCAAGTGCACTGACTAAGTTCTATGAACAAAAACTAAGCAAAAGGTGCTGACATAGTTGTTTGTATGAATACAACACATCTATGTGTGTCTATATTTTATGGTGTTTAAATGTGGTTTGGGCAATTGACCATCCTAATTGGAGTTAATGGAATCTGTAAACGGTTAAGACAGCCAGTGATGCTGTTGTCATGTAATGCTTGTCTGTTTCATCCGCATCCTCCTCTTCCTCAGTTTTAATGCTAGATGAGTGAGGTGGGTGTGGCTTCCCACCAGCCCGACCATCCTGACTGACGGATCTCTGGATGACCTTGTCCCCACCCCTGTCCCTGCGCTCACATACACCACAGAAATGTCACATCTGCCCAGCAGCTCAGTCCGCGACCATATGAAATGGGTTTGTTTTGAGAACACCAAAGTGATTACAAATACCTTTCCTTGCCATCATGTCACTCAGGATGTTGTCGTTGATGACTAGCTTGGCAAATGCCATTGCAATATTATCTTAGATGCAGAAGCTTTTGTATTGCAGACTAGCTTTTAAAAGTGTGACTTGGTTAGTAAACTTTTCCTTAATTTTCTCCGGCAGGCGGGGCTGCTTGGCTGCGAGGCCGTCCTCTCCAGCATGGCCCTGATGCAGGCCAGCTCCATGGCCGCTCCGCCCAAAAAAATGATGGCTCCACTCGGCCACGGACTCCCGCAGAGAGAGGCATCTGACCGTGCTCCACAGAGCCATATGATCCTCCCCTCTGGAATGAGCTGTCCTCCCCTGGTTAGGACCAACTTCGGAAATGTAGAGTGGAAATTAGGCTGTCAAATGCCATGCTTTTAATATTGTGAAACATGTAGATTTGTAGCCTTCGTGACATTGAGATGTTGTGTGTGGGAGGAGTTTCTCTCTGAATGCATTCTTGATGAGTTGTTCAACTTCAAAACAAGCTCAACTCTACTAGGTAGTGTTCTTACCTAAACATTGGATTATGAGTGCATGTCATACCTTTTTTAAAGGATACAAATCCAAATGTATATAATCACCTTCAGGTAAAGCATTAGATATATTTTCTGTCATTTACAAAACCCAAACTATTAAAAAAAAAAAAACTAATAATTGAGATTCACATGCAACGCTTTATTTAAGTCGTGTTCAAAAATCAGGAAATAATTGATATTTTCTGGCTCTGTAGCTCATCCGGAAGGAAGGTGAATTCCAAGCTCCCCGTCTGCTGGATGAGAAGGAGATGAGGGCCAACGAGGACATGCAGCAGAAAAAAAAGAACAGGAAATCAGTTACGCCCTGCAAAGTGAGAGAACAAGAAGGAATGGGAGGGAAGGTTAGTGGCTGTGGTGGCTAAATAGTGAAGGGTCTCTGCAGTGCACTTTTTTATTTGTCCTCATTTCATAAAATGCGCAAGTTAGCAGCTTGCACACGTTTTTGGATAAGCATTTAACTTCATTCCAAGTAGCGCCTAGCTTGGAGCTTTCATGTGTGCAAATTTTGTTTGTGTGGTGGTGGGGGTGGGGGGAGGAGTTCGGGGAAGATGTTGAGGGGGTGGAGGATCTCTAGAGAGGAAAGAGGGGGAGGGGAGCAGAGTGAAGCGGAGCACAATAACTGCGGTTGTGTGCATAACAGGGGGAGCAGTAACATGAGGGCATTAGGCCATTGGAAGGGATTGTGGGGTATTTGTCGATTACAATGTTAAATACATGTAGTAATAAAAAACATTAGTGCATATCAAAGATAAATGGGCTTTTAGACTAGTATCTACATGAAGAATGACACTCTTCAAACAGTTCTAGAAATCATAGGCCCCCACGTTTACTGAAATCCGTTAAAGATTATCATCAAGTACTGACCAGCTGTGGGTGGGAATGTTTGATAAATTGTACCATTTTCTGTTTGTGATGAAATGCACAGTATCTGCTTGTGTTTTTAATTCAGTATGAAACTGCTGTTGGACATAAATGTTAAACAATCATCCTTACTGTCCTCATTAGGGCACAGGTGGAGATGAGAATGGTCCAGCATCCAAAGTGCAGAAAAACTTTATTTGTGATCACTGTTACGGAGCATTTAGGAGTGGATACCACCTGAAGAGACATATCCTCATCCATACAGGTATGGGTCATGCTGGGAACAAGTCTAGTTTACAGTTAAGCCAAAACTGCTTTTTAATGCCTGACTACATTAATCATTTGTTGAAAGAGGCCCTGAAAGTTTGAATTGGAATGAAGAGTGTGCAGCTACTGTAAGGTTTTGCAATGGCCTGCTTAAAAAACCTTGTTTGGTAAAAGCTTTTGCCTCACAGCTAATTGGTGGTATCTGTGGGGACTTTGACTAAAACTGGTGCTCTTCGGTTTAGGGGAGAAGCCGTATGCTTGTGCCGTTTGTGACATGAGGTTTATTCAGCGTTACCACCTGGAGAGACACAGCCTCATTCACACGGGTATGCGTCCTTTAACCGTACCCATATTACATTTATCTGACTACATCTGTAGTCTGTCACTTGAATCAATGGACAGATGCTCAGGGTAATTTTGTCTGTGGACAGTAATTTCCAACAAAGCCATCTCCCAAAATCTGTTCACCCCAAAATATAAAGCACAGTATTTGTCGTATATATATATATTGGTCCCCCAACACCAGGAAAAAATGATAGGAGGCTATGATATATAGTGAGGTCCAATAGTCCTGAGTCCACTATTACAAATTGTTGTTTTAGCATCTCTGAAACATAAATATAAAAATCCCCTTTTTGAAAGGTCCATTATTTCATTTGACTGGAATCAGTTGTAGAAATGTTTGCGATATTTGAGAATATCATGTTATTGCAACTTTGGAAGATTACTGAGATGTTTAAGGCACATTCCTACTTTCCCCCAGAATGCTCGTTGGGGTTGAGCGTTATTGGCCTTGTGAGAGAAATTAGCCTCTCTTATCACCATCAAAAACTCTTATTGCAAATTCAAACGTTAATCTGCCAGTATAAAAATGGTTGTTCCTGTTTCAACTGTGATACTTTTACTTTGTTTGGCTTTAATTGTGCTGTTTAATTGTTATGAAAATGCTGTTAGGTCCTGAAGAAATGTCCACTTATTATACATGCTTCACATGCTGTGATCGTTATAAAGAGTGACTCCACCCAGGCTATAAGCCACCTAGCTGTTGCTGCCTGCTCTGCTGTTCGACCATTTGAAATGCACTTCCGTCAAAGCATACTCTTAATCTTAAAGTCCGTCTTTGTTTGAATAATTCAACTTTATAGAATCTATGTGATCTTTTTTTCTACTCCAAAGAACCACTTTGAAAACAAAACAACTTTGAAAGATTGTTAACAGACAAGCGGAAAGTATTTTACAGTTGAAACTCGAGGTTAGCAGCAGCCACACACAGACGGCCATATTCATTATGGTAACATATGGTATTCTTTAACCACCACAATGACTTTTGACTATGTAATAATTGTCATGTCGTAAAGAAAAACATTGTTTCAACAAGACTTTTTGATAGTGGACTTGAAAGTGGACTCAAACTTGTGGACCTCAGTGTATGCGTGTGAACGCCTCAAAGCCCAGGCTTCATAAAACATGCATTATTTATTTATGTTTTATTTATCTTTTTAATGTTACTGTGTCAGTTAAAATAGCTGCATGGACATCTAAGGACTATGTTCTTAATCATTTATACAATATAAACATTCAGGAGTTAATTAACTTAAGTTTTAAAACTTTTGCATCGTACCTATTTTGCGTTGCAGCCTTTCACACACAATTCTTTGTTTTCCATTGTTTAAGAGCTATGCACTCTGGGTAAGTCACCTTCTAACTTAATTGTTTGTCAAGTCGATGACTACTGCCCCAGTAATCACTAAATTAAATGTCCCAATATTGACCAAATATACCCTCAGCTATCATGGTTAATGTAAACATATGAACATACAGTGTATATATTTATGATTTCATCCCAATATCCCAGTAGATTATTTAAACAGTTGCTCTTTTTGGCAGCATTGCATCTGTTCTTTCTGTTAACCACATAATACATTTTGTCATTTTGTTTTCCACATTTTTACAAATTTAATAAACTGAATAGCTAATATTTGTATGCTCTGTGTGTGTAGGGGTGAAGCCGTACGCTTGTTCCATGTGTGACATGAGGTTTTTCCAGCGTTACCACCTGGAGAGACACAGACTCACTCATACGGGTATGCGTCCTTTTACCGTACCCAGTTCAAGTTAAGACCCTTTTTTTCAATCGGCTTAAACACAAACAACAGTTTAAACAACAATACAATGACACAAACAGTGTAGAGGCAAATGTGAAGACACAAAACAACCCTTTGGAGTTTATCCAACAGTCGTGTAGTATTACATTAACATAAAAACATTCTTTATTACCCCCTATTAAAGGGTTCTAACTATAGGACGATTCAAATATCAAAGTTTTCTGAAATAAGAAAACTTTAGTCTTTTGTTTGACTTGGTGGACACATTTTAGGAACATCTTTTCACTTTAAAACAGCAACAGTTGAATTACTACAGGGTTGAACCACCTGACGCAGAACTGCTTGTTAATGTAAGCAAACGCCTAGCATGATCTAAAAGTGCTCCTCTGGACACCTCAAAGTGTATTATCCCTAATGTACCATTGCTGCCCAAGAATATTTACAAAATAATATATTATTTTTGTTCATGCTCTGAGATTAACAGTGCTTTATCGTTCTAGAAGAGCTGAACCCATAAAGTAATCTATCATAGTGTACATACGTTCTAATGATAACTTTTTATAGTCTCATGTTTGAACTGAGACACAGTATATGCCATATATATTTTTCGCGGATGTATCCATCATGGTTAGGACATGGTCAAAGCCACAGTATAAGAGGGGGTTTGATAGGTCACAACGTATTAAGGACAGAGATGTAATATCTGCAGACACACCGTTACAGGAGGCCTTCTCACTCAAGTGTTTAAACAAATCTGGTTGTTGGCTTTTCTAGAAATAAAAAATGTGATTGTTTCAAGTTCTCACAACAGTAACAGCTGATTCACTTTGGCCATGGTATATTATGGGAATAGTCCTTTGATGTCCACTCCTATTTTACAAGCAGATAAATGGCTGCACAACTCATGTGTCTTCGCTGCTGTTGTCTTGCTTTCTTAATGAATTGTTTTATTGCATAGTTGCGTATACAGATGCTTCTACTGTTCATGTATGGCGGAGATCAGATTGGAAGCTTTTGAAAGTTGAGGCAGATCATCAGCAAACACTGTCATTTCACCATCAAAGAAATGAACGTGCACTATGTAGGCGCTTAACCAATTTCAAGTTGCAACACACATGCTCACCACAATTCTATAAGACTTTGTCGCCACCTTTAAAAGTGAACGGTGGAGAAGTGTGCTGACATTTCTGCTTCAGCTGGCCAGTGTGATCCCTGTCTTAGATGTTTCTTTGCTGTATGTCTTGTTTACCTTGCTTGGCTTGCTTTTATTCTATGATTGTTATCCAGGTCAATTAAAAATGCTCCCCCATAACAGAAGAAAACGTTTAAATTAGAAAGTAAAACCCCTTCGCATGAAGCTTGATGGAATGTGTAATATCTGGGTCCTAGTGATTTCATGTCTGTCAATGATGCTTCCCTTTGATGCTTAAGGAGCGCCCTAGCTAATCTGTTGATACTCTGTGTATGTAGGGGTGAAGCCGTACGCTTGCTCCATGTGTGACATGAGGTTCTTCCAACGTTACCATCTGGCAAGACACAGCCTCACTCATACTGGTATGCGTCCGCTCACCATAGCTCATAAAGTAGCATTGTTTTAAGTCACTTTTCCAATCATAGCAGTGTAAACAGAGATTTAAAGTGCCTAGAATGACTACCAGTTTCAACTATTGACATATTCAGGAACATGAAGTTGTATCCAGACATGTGTTAGTAATATAAAACCCACCACTTTTAGCTCTGATGCAAATACATGCACTTATAGTTGCACACCTGAATGTACACAACATAATGTTTTCCCTTCTAAATGCTCTACTTTGTTCTGCGCCATTAGATATTTTGTTGACTGAAACTGCCCACTCGTGGTCCCAATACACATAGGGTGATGGAATAATGTGTAGCTGCATTCGAAGAGTCATTGAAAGGAAAGAGTTGATGGTTGTGTGTTTTAATATTTTGTCTGTTTCTAGTTTATACTTACATACTTTTCATGTGTGTAGGGGTGAAGCCATACGCTTGCTCCATGTGTGACATGAGGTTTTTCCAACGCTACCACTTGGCAAGACACAGCCTCACTCACACGGGTATGGGTCGCCCTTTCTTGCTACATTAGAGCCCAATTACCCAGTTTCTTGAAGTTTATCTGTCCTTTGTTTATATAGGTTCAAACATTAGCATTAATATCTTTCAACTGGGCATGCTTGAGGAGTGCATTTTAGTTTTTATCTTACCCCTTTAGTGCTACATTTTAGACGGCATTTCCCAAGTTAACTCCATTAGTAATCAACTGCAGTGCCTTCAAATGACACCTTGACTTGTCTAGTCTAAATTGCAATGCATGTCCATGTTGAACATCTGCACTGAGTTAAGCAACAACAAAAAGAAGTTAATCCAGGTCCCTTACCACGCACGTTAACAGATTAGGACATGTTAGCCGAATGATTTTCCTGTGCATCATGCTGGGCCGTTGGGCATGTCTGGATACATGGTAGAAGTGAGTGTGTCCTGTTCAGTTGATTGTGATTACCAAATATTTTGCTCTGTGTGTGCAGGGGTGAAGCCATATGCTTGCTCCATGTGTGACATGAGATTTTTCCAGAGATACCACCTGGCAAGACACAGTCTCACCCATACGGGTATACCTTTTATTTATCCCTCTCACTTAACATTATTATGGGGTGTATTTCCCTTGTGTGTACATCACCACCCTGTTAAACCCAGTTAAAATGTTTTACAATGAAAGGTTAAAGTTTAAGCACTTGTAGATATTCTATTTCCTTTTAGGTGTACTCCATTTTACCTAGCTAACTGCTTTAAGGGTCGACAGGTCACATTTTATGTCTTGTATGTACACAGTTTAGTTTACCAAGAAAATGATAGAGACTTTGTAATGACTTAACCATGACTAGTGTATATAAGATGACATATTGTGTTTACATGGTTCAAGAGAACACTTTTCTAAAGTTTGGTACTGTATGCGTTTAGGGGTGAAGCCGTACGCTTGCTCCATGTGTGACATGAGGTTCTTCCAGCGTTACCATTTGGCAAGACACAGCCTCACTCATACTGGTATGCTTGAATTATTTGTTCAATTATTATTTGTCCCCTTTCAGTATGAAACCTTTTTATATAAAAACCTACACATTATTCAAAAAAAATGGACAACCCCTTTTATATACAGTAGCATCATTTCTCCATGTTCATAAATTAATTTCCCCTTCCAAAAAATGTTTAATAGAATTTTTAGGCTTTGTTGGAAAACTGTCCATGGAAAAAGTGACTGTCAGTTACCTTCTTTTGTGATTAAAAAAACTGTTATGGTTCTGTTGCATGTGTACTGTTGAGTACTTTGTTATAACTCCAACGAAAGGCACATTACACTAAAAAACGTTTTGAATGCAGACATCAATAATATAAATTGTCAGGTATGTGAGTTTTGTTTCTCATGTCTTGCTTGACTTAAGATGATGCATGTTTAACAATTGGGGTTTGAAGTTGAAATGCTATTATTACCACCATCCAGTTTGTAGGATGACTGAATATTGCTCAAGCTGGTCTAAACTCCAATGTGTAAACCCAGTTTTTTTTGTGTTATTGATGGGGCACCTTAACTTTTGATGTCTGCAGGTTCTAAAAATGTTTTCCGTGTAATGTCTCTTAACAGAATTGATCTGAAATAAAGCATGTGATGGGACAAGTCAAGCATTTCATGTGTTTTTAGATCTTGGTGTTGATGACCTTCACTGCCTTGAAATGCATCTAACCTTCTTGTGCTTTGTTTAGGGGTGAAGCCGTATGCTTGCACCATGTGTGACATGCGGTTTATACAACGTTACCAACTGGAGCGGCACAGTCTTACTCATACAGGTATGTCCTCATTTCTTTACCTTTGACCCCGTTTCTCCCTGACTTTGGTCATGCATGTGCCCCGCCTCAGCGTTTACATGGCCGCTTCAAACTGGAGTTTGTATTGCTTTCTGTCACGCTTTTGATAAGTGCTAATGTTTCACGCAGCATCTACAAAGAGCTTCATAAGTAGCTGCATAAAGATATCTCTTTGCATTCGTTGTTTATGAAATGACATGATGACCATGAAGGGAAATTCCAACACTGTTTGATTTTTAGTATTTTCAGCCCTTTTACCCCAAACTGTTTTCTGTGTTTCTTTTAGTTGCAAGCCAAAAATAGTTTCCATCATGGAACGTTTATTCTTTCAGCCTTAAAGAAACCACTGCACATTACCATCTCTTGTCTCTTTTTTAAGATATCAAAAACTATTTTTGTGATTAGAGTCCATCCAAAGTTTTAACATTCCCTGGTTTCATATTTATAATATTAATAAACGTAAAACCTACGTGAGGAAAGCTCAAAATGTATCCAAAAACATTCACATCTTGAATTTGAAAAGTGAAAGATAAGAGTTTCATGTGCATCACCTGCAGATGATTGTGCTACTGAAGACAACCTGGAACCATTTGATCTAATTCTTATTTAAAGAGTGACCTGTTGGGCGATGGGGAAATTGTGTGGGGGTTCGGGTTGAAATAAATTGGACTTATTTTTCAATTTGGCCGAGTGCACAGTGATTTCTTTTTTTCCTATCAAAAAATCAAAAAAGTGCAGCTTTTTCATGATGTCATTTCACATTCAAAGTAATGATGAAGAAATAACATATCTCTCTGTTTTGATAAGTTTAGTTTAATTGTTCGTTATATTTTAGAACAAGTTTGATTGAAGGATATTACAGGCATTACAGTTTCAAATGCTAAGGTAAAACTGAATAGATTTTTTCTTTCTTAAAAATCAAGTTTAGTTTTGTATGTTGGTTTTCAGAGCAGTTTTGGTCACTGTAAAGATTTGCAACAGTTGACCGATCTAAATGTATTATGCATAGTTGTTTGCCAACTGCCTAAAATTGTCTAAGCCCTGCGATCAGCGTTACTAAAATTCAAGTAAACACTGTCCGGCAGTATGTATGCGTTATGATTTAAATTCTGACCTAAACCTATCGGCATCGTCTGAAAAGCCTGCTATCGTTTCAGGTATCGTCTGAATCTGCCCAGAAGGGACTCTGGTTTTGCATCAGTTATTAACTGGCCCTCCCATGGGTTTTTTAAGTTTAAAAGTTAACTCAGCGTTCACCACAGAAAATGTAAATTTCCCCCATTTTTTCCCATTTAAATTCTGGCCTTACCTCTTGAGCAGTTACGCCTAAACTTAAAGAAAATGTAATTTCTAATTGGAGACGTTTTGGAGCATGCTGGACTTTCCAGTGTAAAAAGGGCGCTGATAAGTGCAGCCAAACTTTACTAAGCAATTAGTAAAGTTTCACGTGGATTATTTTTGGCAGTTGAGTGTTTGATGCTAAAGTTGGTACTTTGTTTGTGTAGGGGTGAAGCCGTACGCTTGCACCATGTGTGACAAGAGGTTTTTTCAGCGCTACCACCTGGCGAGACACAGCCTCACTCACATGGGTATGCGTCAGCCAATCTTAACCAAGTCAAAAGATTAGGATGCTGCAACACCTGTATGCTTCATCTAGTGTATCTGTATTTATACACCAATAATAAAAGTGTGATATCAAATAGATGACATCATCATCTCATGTGTTGTCAGGGAATTCTGTAATTGAAAAGAAGAATCATATTGTACCTTTTTTCTGTAAGTAACTTAGGGATTGACATTGGTTATTAACCACAAATATCAATTGTTTCCAGATTGTTACTCACTTAAATGATACAATAGGATAGTTCACAATAATAAATAATACAGATCCTTTTTTTCTCCTGCTGGCAGACACAAAAATAATGATTTTGATGCTCTGCGTTTAGGTGTGAAACCTTATGCGTGCACCATGTGTGACATGAAGTTTTTTCAGCGTTACCACCTGGCGAGACACAGCCTCACTCATACGGGTATGGGTCCGTGCACCGCGCCCATGACACTCACTGTTAGAAATCAACCGGGACATTTTTTATTTCCCTAGCTCACTTCAGACATACGCCTGTACCATTGAAGGGATATGAAGTTAGAACAAGGTCTGTTGTTGTTAGGCATTATTAGTTAAGCTGGAAAACCATTAATCAAATGCTCTTCTGTGTAGTACAACACTACCAGATGGATAAAAGCATTTCAAGGAATTATTTATTTGAAGTGTTTGTCTTTTGCATGAATTGGCAACTGTGTGGTTAATAACCAATAGTGTATATATGAACTCCTGAAATAAGAACTGGAAAGTGAGGCAAAGTAATATAATACTGCTACTTTGCATTTAGGTGTGAAACCTTATGCTTGCACCATGTGCGACAAGAGGTTTTTTCAGCGCTACCACCTGGCGAGACACAGCCTCACTCATTTGGGTATGCGCCCGCACACCTTACCCATCATATCACTGAGATCAGACTGTCATGACTTGATGTTATATAGAGGGTCAGCCATCTAACGTATCAATCACTACTCCAGAGCTATGTTCTGCCTTCCCTACATTATGTGTGTGTAAAAAGTGAATGTGTAAAAGACATGCAACATCATCAGCTCATGTGATGTGTTAAGTTGTGGATTTGAGAATTGGTTCACACATTGTGTAAAAAACATCAATTAATTAAAAAGACATTCAAAAACGTTTTCAATAAGTGGTTAACGACCCATCCATTTTGAATAGATAATCAAAGTATGTTGCCTGATTGATGGATTGTGAACACAAAGAGATACAAAGTCTGAAAATAATACCATGATGCTCTGCGTTTAGGTGTGAAACCTTTTGCTTGCACCATGTGTGACATGAGGTTTGTTCAGCGTTACCACCTGGCGAGACACAGCCTCACTCATACGGGTATGCGTCAGTGCACCTGCCCGACTCACATTTCTAGGCAATTATTAAATCGTCTTTATTGTTTACAGAAAAGTTTCAATACAGATGTCTTATTGAGGTAGCTAAAGTTGTTGTGTAAAACTTTCAAGCAAATTATTTGTGATAAATATCCGTAATCTTTACTCTCAGTAGATTTTGACATTTTGCTTCGAATGATAATAATTGAGGCCTTCTAGAACATGTACTGCCTTTTTATTTCAAATGAAGCAAAAAGGCTGAAAAACAACAGTAATGATACATTTGGATCCATCCTCTGCTTTTAAAACTCTACTGCATGTTTGGTCACAATAGTTCTCAGAAAATAATATCAGCTTATCAGCTTCAATAAACATGATCACTAGTGTCAAAGGGATCAATTGATTTACATTGTTTTCACATAAATGTGCTTTATAAGATATTGGTAAAGCAAAAATACTCAGTTAATTATTAGCATGATTTCAATCATACCTTAGTCAATATCTGTGTGTATCCAGTTACTTTTGATACACACAGATAAAGGCGCTGATTGCAATACAGTTGAAAGAATAAAACAAACTGTTGGTGATTTAGCTCCATTGGTCACTTCAGCTGTCCTTGTGTGAACTATGAGTACTAAGTGAAGAACACTTTAGACTTATCTTTTGGTTTTTGCATGAATATGGTAATGTGTTGTTGAACTCCAATAGCTTAGGTATGTATTCTAAGGAATGGAATTGGAGATAAAGTAAAATAATACTGCTACTCTGCATTTAGGTGTGAAACCTTATGCTTGCACCATGTGCGACAAGAGGTTTTTTCAGCGCTACCACCTGGCGAGACACAGCCTCACTCATTTGGGTATGCGCCCGCACACCTTACCCATATCACTGAGATTAAACACAACATGTTTTATCTGTCAGCTAGTTAGTGTTATTATGTAAAGGTAACTAGTTGTGCATTTTCTCTCACCAAGGATTTCCTGAATTATGTTTGTAAATGCAACATTAAATCAAATCCCTACATGTACCTAAACACAGGACTGTGACATCATCAGCTCATGAGATGTGTTTTAGTTGTGGTTTAAAAATTCAATCAACAGTTTGATGTTTTTGATTTGGCTTGGAGAAAACAAATTCAATTCAACTTCCATTGTTTTTAGGAACATTTCCCATAGCAAGTGAAAAGTGGTTAACAACCCCTCAATTGTAATTATATGTCTACATTTCAACACTGATTGATGGATTGTAAAACAAATTCAAAGTCCTGAAAATAACGTATTGATGCTCTGCATTTAGGTGTGAAACCTTTTGCTTGCACCATGTGTGACATGAGGTTTGTTCAGCGTTACCACCTGGCGAGACACTGCCTCACTCATACGGGTATGGGTCCGTGCACCTGCCCGACTCACATTGTGTTGCCACAGTTTGCTACTCAGTGCTAATATGAGGGATCATTACTGTGCGGTTATTATAGTAGTCAGAACGTGTTTTTTACGTAGGTGTTTGAGTTGGTTTCTGTTAATCGGACGTTCAAATTGCTAGTATCTACTCTTTTCTTCCCATTCCCTATACTTAATGCTATGTTGTATAGCAAAAACCTCATGTTCCTATAGAACCCTCAGCCAATAGTGTTAATGCAATCGGGATACAATATTTGAGATTTTCTTTTTAGATACAGTTCATTGTAGAGAAAACCTGATAGCCTGTATTTGTTAACTAGCAATTTAATTGAGTTTTTACTATGTATACCAGAAATACTGTAGAGGAATTCAGGGACTTTAAAGTGGATGCAAAATATTAAATATATTGCCTTTCAGCAAGAATTCAAAGTTACAGATTCTGACTCGTGAATTCAGAGTCCTATTAAGTCATGGTTTCAATTCTTGGCGTAATTCTTCATTATTAATTAATTAAAGAATAACACAAATGTGTTTTTAGAAAAACAAATCTCCAGCACATTTGTGCTTATATTTTCATTTCTCAAACATTTCTGTAGCCAAAAGCCTGCTCTCGGTACTCAACAAGCATACATCTAAACAAATGCTTATGATGGGTTCTTGGAACCTAAACTTATTTTAATTCTGCCTTTGTGTATTCATGATAGTCGTAATACAAGTCTTCCATTAGATTCATCTTTAAACAGCATTTTGCGGGGATAAAGTTTAAACTTGAATGTAGAGGATGGCTTTAGGAAACTTAACATCCAGTAATAAGAGATTCAAACTCAAAATAGGTGGTAATGATGTAACCATGTTTTTGCAGTTAAGTTGTAGGCATTATAGATTCTAGGTGAGAGAAGATAAAATAGTAATTGTTGCGGTGGCAAGTGAAACATATGTTTATTAAGACAAGCAAACTGTGATTACATTTTATGATTCATACTCCTTTCAGATCTTTGTGTTCTTTTCTATAACACCTACATTATGTTTAAAACTGACTTGACTCTATTCACAAATCAGCTTATAATTGCATGTCTGAACATCTCATTAAACTTAAAAGGAAATGCACATTAGATTAATAAATGATGAGGTATAATCTGTCAGTGTTTTAGTCCTCGTGCTAGCTTCAGCTTGAAAGTTGTATTTGTTGCACTTGTGGGTGGTAGGGCTAATATATTGCTCTGTGTGTGTAGGGGTGAAGCCGTATGCTTGTTCCATGTGTGACATGAGGTTTATTCAGCGTAACCACCTGGAGAGACACTGCCTCACTCATACGGGTATGCGCTCCTTCCCGTTCCCTCCCTACTGAGCGAGGCTCTGCTGCCTCCAACACAACGAGTCACAACAAACTCGAGTTTGGATTGTCAAGTCATTTGATGGGATGTTGAACCAGCCTCAGAATACTTGCCCCAGCTTTTGGGCCACTATGTTGCGTAGATCTAGACCATGAAAACAACAAAATTCCACTTTGATCTACACATAATGAGTTGATGACGAGGCCTTTTTAAAATATACATTTTCAGATGCTGAGACTACACTGTTGAAATTTACCTTTAGGGCGTTTTGCCCCAACTTTTTTATGAGTGTTGGAAATATAGTTTGCAATTAAAGTTTAGTAAGTGAAAAATGCAGCCAGTTTGTTGCTACTGGACGCTAAAATAGATTAACTGACTGTGTATTTGTGTGCAATTTCAGGAGAGAAGCCATTTGCTTGTGACATGTGTGATATGAGGTTTATCCAGCGCTACCACCTTGAGAGACACAAGCGTGTCCATAGTGGGGAGAAGCCTTACCAGTGTGAGCGGTGCCAGCAGGTATGCTCAAGATGTCACCTTAAATGAGTTCATTGGGTCAAATGTTGGATGTATAAAATATAAAGATTTCTTGATGTTATAAAATGCAGTCATGTTGTTTTCTCTTGGTCTCTATACCTATTGAAACAGATTAACCACACATTTACTTTAATAATAACTACTAACTAGTATAATAACTAACTATGTCCATGTTGTCTGTTTTGAAGAACTTTTCACGGACAGACAGGCTGTTGCGGCACCGGCGGTTGTGCCAGGGTCGCGGCGTAGCCAAAGTGGAGAACCAGCCGTGCTGCGAACCGCGCCCGTATGGCCAGGAGCCCCCCCCCGCCCCTCAGACCTGGAGCCCCTGCACCCCCCTCCAGGCCGACTGGCAGTCTGACATTCCACCCTCCCCACATCCACAACCACGCCAGAGAGCGGAGGAGCCACAGGGTTTCTTCTTCTGCGCTGAGTGACGCCACACTCCAGCGCCGACCCTTCTGCAGCTCCAGTCTTGGGATTACTGATGATCGAGGGACATTTGTGTCTTTGCTTTGTTGACTTTTTACTGTGTTTCCTTTCCTCCCCCTGTTTTTTTAAAGACAAGACTTTTCTGTGATGAACAGTGGTCCTGTTTTGTACTTAATCTATTTGGTTTTTGCAAAAAAAAGAAGTTTTTATCGTTGTTCAAATATATCTGCATTTGGTGGTACTCGGGAAGGGCTGTAGGTATTGTTTATCCAGACGTGTTGGCAACAACAAAATGGGATGACGTGGTGCTGAGGAAAAGTATTTGAGCTTCTTTCTGATTTTCATGTGGCCCATTTTGTAAAACACAAGAATCGCCACTTTGGTCGTTTCAATATTAAGACTGAACTTTCCTTCCAGGTAAAGCAAGGAGAGCGCTATGTTTGCACTATGTAGCAAACAGAGTGCTAGAAGCATCGGTCTGAATGTGATCTGAACAATAGGATGTTCCTGACTTTATCAACATGGGAGGTACAGTTTTAATAATGGTTTTGTGTAAATCGAAAATGTTTATTTTAACTTGAGACTAAATTAGGGATGTTTGTGTGTGCACGAAATGGGCCAAAAAACCAGCTGATCATAAGAAATGAGGTCAAACACTCCTCTGCCTCTGTTTCTGAGATATCCTAAGGAAACCTGAGTAACTAAGTGTTTTTTAAAACAAAAGTAATATCAAACCAGGGCTTCCAGGAAGTGGTGAAGAGGTCTGGGTCCCAGGATTATCACCTGTGTGTCTCATGTTCTGTGTGACGTGCTGAGGACTCGGGGAAAGGGCCCATGATGGCCCCCGTATATATTTTCAGCTGTATATATATACATATACACACACAGTATATAAGCAGAGATCCCCAGTACGTACAGGAAGGCCTCTGCTCGATCTGTCTATAGATTCTTGTTCTGAATAGCACAGGTTGGCCACTTGAAGTCCCATTATGTTGTCTGTACAGATACTCTCATGTGAGATCAGCGAGGGTATACAAAATCTTGTGGCCTTAGTGTGTTTTGTTTCTTTTCTTTTGCCTTGTTTCTCAGCTGTTTGTTATTGTGGATCAGATGTATTAACTAAGAAGAGACAGCCAGTCTTCATCATGGTATGTTTTTGTTTTTTAATCCTAAAGCCGCCATGGTTACAGAATGTTGACGGCTTCAGTGGCGCTAAAACAAACTAATGTTTTCGCCTGTCGACCTAGGTTGTCTTTTGATGATTAATGTTTGGATCATTGTTACTGATACACACAGTATGGAAGGAGCCCCCGAGTGTTTGACAGTCCTTGTGAGAAGTCCGTAGAGCTGACCCACTGCAGCGCTCTGGCAGAATCAGCACGTGCTCGACTCTGCTACACACTAACAATTGCCTTTTTTATCCAAATATTATGTGGTTGGTGTGTAATAATGGATGTCTGTCATGTCATTGGGTTTAGCCTTAAGTAAGTGCGGATACACAAAGTAATCATCGTAGTGCTAAATGATATTGTAACAAACAATTTATTTTCACCTATCATGACCTTTGATCGTACTGTGTAAAAGTCTTTGGCGGTCAGACAGCAGAGAGCAGTTAAACAGGAGGGGGGGGGCACTTTGCCGCCTATTGAAGAAGTTTCTCAAACTTGATCCTTTCTGTGACTGATGGGCTAATGTTAGCATCGTCCTAACTGTTCTGTTTAAGCCAGTAATGTCAGTGTGTGTGTGTGTGTGTGGGAGACGGACATGTTAAGTCTTCACAACTGCCAGAGCGACGTCTCAGATTCCAGCTACCTTCAGAAGACAGGATTTTTTTTGTTTTTATTTCAAGGTCCAGATAAGCTTCGGTGAATGTGGAGATGGAATCCCAGAGTGCATTATCTGGTCTCTGGAGGAATAGATGTTTGTTACAATAAGACGAATATCACTGATTTAAGTGGTATTTTACAACAAGTATTAACGGGAACGTTTCTTTCAAGTGGTCAATCATATCAAGGCAAAGTTGTGTGACAAGTTGTGGTGTAAGTGTGTACAGAGATGGGATTTCACATGTTTTGATAAGCAAAGGGGCCAAGTTTGAGAAATGCATTCATTTGCTCTGGAAACACTATTCCAAATCAGTGGAGGAGATACAGCTGGTGCAAGCACATACTCAAATGGCTAAAGGGCAGAACAGTACATAGTTGACATCACTTGTTAATATCTTTTTGTGTCTTTTATTGTTTTTAGTCTCAATCTCATTGTTAAAACGCAATAGAATCCTTGAGTCTCAGATCATTTGTTTATAAGATTGAGGTTTCATTTTTCAGACGGATCCGAGGATTTATTTCTCTGAGATGTTCTCATCACATTTTGATGATTGTTTCAAGGACCTTTTTTTATTCTGATGAAATTGTAAACACTGGAGTGAAAAGGAAAAAGACAAAAAAGAAAGATGGTTATTTTTTTCTTCAGACTGTACTAGATTTTAGGTTTTAGACAAAGCCTATTTCTCCTCAACTTGACACAGAAGGTGGACAGAACATTTTGGATCAGTGCAGTTGGGATCCCAGTATGTTTGATAATTTTGACATTATAGGCAGTAGTACCACAAGAAAAATGTTTTCTTTCTCATATTGAAGTCCCTGGTATTTGTAGTAAATTATATTGATAATGGTATTAGATGAACAACAGCATAACAGTAGCTATCACAGATTAGTTGTTTTCTTTATTAGTCTTGCATGCAGAGTTATGGTCCTCAGTTAAGACAGGATCTTGATATTGATTATTTTGTGTAGGAAAATGAGTGCATAAGAATAACTTCCTAAAAAGATGTTACAATGATTATTGTAAAATGGGCTAACTAATATGTACCCTTGTGATCCAATTAGTTTCAACTATATGAAAATCAGAGGAGAGGCTTCTTACTATTATGCTGAAATAAAATAATTTGTAAAGGACCTTTTGTATGCTTACTGGCTTTGTTGACTTCATTTTGATGTTTTTAGTTTCTAAAAATTAAGTATAAAAGTGGAGACAAATGTTGCATCTTATTTAGACCATCAGGCCAAACAGCACAAGTGTTTTCCAGGGCCTCAACAGGTTGAGGGTTAGATGTACAACTCTATGGAGTTCCCCCTTTGGAGAAAAAAAAAAGTCGGGCCCCCCCTAACACAAATAGTCACGTAATGGGCCAAGTTAACATAAAAGGTCCCATGACATGGTCATTTCTACTGATCATAATTCCATTGTTGAGGTCTACTAGAATAGATTTATATTGTGCAATTTTCCAAACTCACATTGGTTTCTCATACAGCATCTCTGTATAGTATGTGTATTCACTCTGTCCTTAACGCCTTGTTGGAGCTCCTGTCCCCCCCCCCTCTCCCTGTGAGCCCCCTGTGCTCTGATCGGTCAGCTCGCCCACTCTGTTCTGATGAGTCCACCACCGTCACAGCGGAACATCAGTGATGATGTGTTACAATGGCGTTAGCAACCAGAAAATGACAACAGTAATGACAAACAGATGAGAATGCTGCGTGGGGTCTGGGTGCCGTGTTTGCGGGACGTTGCGCGGCTCGCTGCTGCGAGGAGCGGACAGTGTGTTGGGTTCATTTCCTGCTTGCTGCGTGGGATCTGCGAGACAGCGAGACATCGCAAATGGACGCGGGAAGCTGAGGCTGCAGCACCCCCATCAGCGAGGCTCCAATAGCAACCCCCCAAGCGTGTCACAGTTTTGTGTGTGTGTGTGTGTGTGTGTGTGTGTCCCAGGTGGTGACACTGTGGTACCGCCCCCCCGAGGTTATTTACAATGACAATGCTTACATGGTCCTTTTCAGCAGGTACTATATAACTTTTACTTTCTTGGTTTAGCCTGTTTGCATGCTA